TTAAAACAAAAGTGGATTTAACATACATATATTTTTAATGTTACCTTCTCCCTACACAATTTGGTCAATTCAAGAATAATTCATGCAATTGTATATTGTTAATTTGAAAGCATTAAAGTGCAGTTTCTTGTCTCTCCTTGTATTGTTCAAGTCAAGTCAAGTCAAATATATTTATATAGCACTTTTCACAATACAGATTGTATCAAAGCTGCTTCACAGTATCAATTAAAACAACTTAACAGTGTTTGTTTATTACTGGAAAAAGACATTCAAGTTTGGTAGAGCTGATCAGTGGTATGATGGGTCATTTAATTTGGATATCCCCAACTGAGCAAGCCAAAGGCAACAGTGGCAAGGAACCGAAAAACTCCATCAAGTGACCCGATGGTGTCCTAAAACTCCATCAGATGACCCAATGGAGAAAAAAAAAACCTTGGGAGAACCCAGGTTCAGTCGGGGCCAGTTCTCCTCTGGCGTTTATGAAGTAGAGGCCGAATTTACAGTAACTGTAAGATGAAAAATTTTAAATGAATGCCTGGCTAAAAAGATGCGTCTTTAGTCTAGTTTTAAACTGGGAGAACGAGTCTGAGCAACAAACAATATCAGGAAGGCTATTCCAGAGCTTCGGAGCTAAATGTGAAAATGCTCTCCCTCCTTTGGTGGATCTGGATATCCTAGGAATGACCAGAAGCCTTGAATTTAGTGATCTTAAAGAGCACGATGGATTATAGGGCGATAGAAGATCTGTTAAATAGACTGGAGCTAAACCATTTAGAGCTTTATAAGTCAAAAGCAATACCTTGTAATTAATACGAAACTTTATAGGTAACCAATGAAGTGATGATAGAATCGGTGTTATATGATCATATTTTCTTGATCTAGTAAGAACTCTAGCGGCTGCATTTTGGACTAACTGTAGCTTGTTTATTGAGGATGCAGGACAACCAGCTAATAAAGCATTACAGTAATCTAGTCTCGAGGTCCTGAATGCATGAACTAACTTTTCTGCATCAGAGACTGATAGCATATTACGTAGCTTAGCAATGTTTCTAAGGTGGAAAAAGGCTGTTTTTGTAACATATGAAATATGCTTTTTCAAAAGACAGGTTGCAGTCTAATGTAACACCCAGGGGTCTTTTACCGTAGCGGATAAAGTAACAGGGCATCCTAATATGTTAAAGTCGTGCTGTGAAAAGTTTTGTGGACGGTTTTTAGAACCGATAAGTATTACCTCTGTCTTGTCTGGATTTAATAAAAGAAAATTACGTGTCATCCAATCTTTTATATCTTTAACACAATCTGTCAATTTGGATAATTTAGCATATTCATCTGGCCGTGATGAAATATATATTTGAGTGTCATCGGCATAACAATGGAAACTAATTCCATGTTTCCTTAGAATATTACCAAGTGGCAGCATATATATTGAGAATAATAAAGGGCCTAACACAGATCCCTGTGGCACTCCATAGTTTGCCGAAGTTATGATAGATTTTTCTCCATTTAAGTAGACGAAATGGTAGCGGTCAGATAAGTATGACCTGAACCAGCTTAATGCTTGTCCTTGAACACCAGTGTAATTTTGTAGTCGATATAAGAGTATTGAGTGATCTATAGTATCGAACGCAGCACTAAGATCAAGTAAAACTAGTACTGAGATACAGCCTTGGTCCGAAGCTAAAAGTAAATCATTTGTAATTCTAACAAGCGCAGTTTCAGTGCTATGATGTGGCCTGAATCCAGACTGAAACTTTTCATAGATGTCGTTTTCTTGCAAGAAAGAGCCGAGTTGAGCGGACACAACTTTTTCTAATATTTTTTACATGAATGGAAGATTTGAGATGGGTCTGTAATTTGCTAGGTTATTTGGATCTAATTGTGGTTTCTTAATAAGAGGTTTTATAACTGCCAGCTTGAACGTTCTTGGAACATGACCTAAAGATAAAGATGAGTTAATAATATTGAGAAGAGGCTCTTCCACTATAGGTAACACTTCTTTCAATAGTTTAGTTGGTATAGGATCTAATAAACATGTTGTTGTTTTAGATGAAGTGATAAGTTTATTTAACTCTTTTTGTTCTATGGTTGTAAAGCATTGTAATTGTTCTTGCGGGGTGATAATTGCGGCTGAATAAGGCGCGAGCAAAGATTGAGCGTTTACGATTATGATTCTGATGCTTTCAATTTTCTCGGTGAAGAAGTTCATGAAATCATTACTACTAAATTGTAACGAGGTATTTTGTTCAGACGACGTCTGTTTATTTGTTAGTCTAGCCACGGTATTAAATAAAAACCTTGGATTATTTCGGTTGTTTTCTATTAGTTTGCTGAGGTGCTCAGCCCTTGCCGTTTTAAGGGCCTTTTTATAACGTGACATATTGTCTTTCCACGCGATTCTAAAGACCTCTAAATTTGTTTTTTTCAATTTACGCTCTAAATTACGGGTTTCTCTCTTTAAAACATACGTAGTATTATTGTACCATGGTGCTATACTTTTTTCTCTGACCTTTTTTAATCTAATGGGTGCAACAATATCCAATGTTCTAGAGAGAATGGAGCTCATAGTGCTAGTTAATTCGTCTAGTTCATCTGTTTGTTTGGGTTCAGGCAGCAGCTGAGTCAGATTAGATAAGCTATTTGAGAAATGATCTATGGTGGAAGGAAGAATTGTTCTACCTGGTCGATAACGTGGCGCAGCATGACATATTACAGCAGTACGTAATATGCAAGTTACCATGTAATGGTCCGTGACATCCAGGGGCGTGGTAGCGGGGGGAAAAGTCAAAAAGTCCGTCTCCACCCCGCAAGGAGTGCCGCAAGGATCAGTGTTAGGCCCTCTGCTATTCTCAATATATATGCTGCCACTTGGTAATATTATAAGAAACCGGAAGAGTATACAATGCTGAATAAAGTCGTAGTTTTTGTTATTTTTGGACCAAAATGTATTTTCGATGCTTCAAAAAATTCTAACTAAGCCACTGATGTCACATGGACTACTTTGATGATGTCTTTATTTCCTTTCTGGACAAGGACAGTATACCGTGTATACATTTTCAATGGAGGGACAGAAAACTCTCGGACTAAATCTAAAATATCTTAAACTGAGTTCCGAAGATGAACGGAGGTCTTACGGGCTTGGAACGACACGAGGGTAAGTCATTAATGACATAATTTTCATTTTTGGGTGAACTAACCCTTTAGATTAAGATTACTAAATTCGAGGCTTCTGGTCATTCCTAGGATATCTAAGTCTACTAAAGGAGGGAGGGCGTTTTCACATTTAGCTTCTAAACTCTGGAATAGCCTTCCTGATATTGTTCGAGGCTCAGACTCACTGTCCCAGTTTAAAACTAGAGTAAAGACGCATCTATTTAGCCAAGCATTCACATAATGCTTACCTTTTATACTACTGTTGAATCAGATCGAATGCATTAATATTATGAACAGCAGCTATGCTAAATATTTCCCATCTGCTTTTCTGCTGTTATTTACCGAGGTAAATAGCGTTCGTCAGCTCCAGTTTGTATCCAGCCTCTCACGGAGACTTCAGATGCCCCAATACCTGCGATGAGATGACTAAACACCTGTGAAGAGTGACGCCGGCGATATGTTATAATGCCCTAAATTAATACACGATTAACTAACTGTATTTTTTCTATGTACATTTCTGAAATGCACTTTCTGTAAAGCTGCTTTGAAACTTTATTGTGAAAAGCGCTATACAAATAAATTTGAATTGAATTTTCCCTCATTTATGCTTCGCGTTTCCCAGTGAGCATAAACAACGGCTCCGTCATAAACAAATTTAGTTAAAGTTGTCAATAGGCTATGAATGAACATTCAAATTCATAACAAACAGTGGGTGAAAACAATCATTCACACAAACTGTCGCCCTACTGCGAGTTTGCTTGATCATTTACAATAGAGATCGATAGCTAGCTGCTAGAAACCTGTATCAATATGTTGTATTCACCAAAGTTAGCGCTGACTGCATTGTTCTAGCTAATTATATCCTTGTGTTTGTTAGGCGAACATGAAAGTCCATTTAGAAAAACCAAACTGGATTTACCCACCTGTCCAGTAAAAACAGAGCTACCTGAATGTCGGATTGGAAGCCCTTCTGCCGGCGGAGTTCTCGCTAACGTTACCTTTTCAAAGGCTTTTCCAATGTAAATTCAGGACTTTGCGCGTTCCTTCTCCTTTTCACTCTTCTTTGCATTTTTGCAATCTGTTCATCGGAACGTCGTCTCTTTGGTCGTTTGTCGGCCATATCAAACTTAAAGAGTTATATAATTCTAACTTCCCTCTTCATGCTTCTCTCTCCTCCACACCCCCCTTCGTGTGTATGCGCACTAACCCCCCAAATCCTTCTCGTTGGTTATTGGCTGGAACACTGTTTGTTATGTTTCGTGGAGCGGGTTGCTGCAGTTTGTTTTTGTTGCTGTTTGTGGAGCCTGGGCTGTCTACAGAGACCGCATTTCTTTACAGTGTGTTCAGGGGACTGGCAGCTAGCGGATAGTGAGGAGATGTTTGCTGTATGTGACAAAAAATGTTTTGGCCTAAAAAACGCATGACATCGCTTAGAGCACCTTTAACCACACCCATAAACAAATATGGCATAATTTCTAATTAGTCACCTTAAGAAAGCTTTACAAGAAAACGGCCTCTAAAGCCAGCTTCACAATTTCCCCAGGATTTGTCATTTTATTTTCATCCACATTCACACAGTTCAACCAAACACTTCCAGTCGGATTTTCTTCCTTCAAGGCACACTCTAAACAACACTATGGACCAGATTTGGAGGCTAGATTGTGAAAAAAAGAGAAAAAGGATGAAAATGAAACCCTGTTCTCCGCAGTGTTTGTGATGGCCAGTTTATTTTTAAGTTTTTATAGCTTTAAAAAAAAGTTCCACCAAAATAATCAACAAGTCAAAAGGAAAAAAACAAGAAAAAACCCAAAAGGCTAGCTAGTGATGGTTAATGAGGACCATATGCCTACCTTCACTGGTAGCTGCATTCTTTGGAGCTTTGGTTGATGTCTGATCCGTACTTGAACTCAGGTCGGAGGAAATACTGGAACTGCCTTTCCCTAAAATCACAAAGAACACCCCAGGACACTTTAGGACACCCAGAGATACAATACAAATTGAGAATACACATATTAGTCTTAAAAAGCAGAAGCCATAGCAAGATAAAAAAAAATACAAAGAGACATTAAATCATCAAAACCGCATCATATATTCAGCACACTTACACATCTGTTCATATATGCTATACACAATACAAAAAAGTCAACCAAAACATATTTTAAATGTCGAGAGTGCACAAATAAAAAAATGACTGTGTAATGGTTAAAAGAGATGAATGTAACAGAATTCATCAAATCATACGATAAATGCCAGGCATTCTTTTTCTGTCCATCACAAACTTAGAATAACAAACCATGCCTCCCACAGATTCTCCCCAATGGCAGGGACATGAAAAAAACGGAAAGTTTAAGCTCTTTTACAAATTACATTTCAGAAAAACGTGCCCAAAAAAAACAAAACAAGCTGAAGTGCCATTCATTTGAGTTCATCTCATAAAAACACTAAATATTAAATAAAGATGATCAAAGTTATTAAAAAACTTTGAAAAACAAGCCAAAACAAACTTTTTCATGGTGATCAAGAAGTTCTTTGGAACGCTAAATGAAAAGCCTTTTGTTTTACAAGTCTCTGAAAAGTTCATTCCAAATTAGGAAAGAGTCAAGACACAATAGCAAACCTAAGCCTCGTGTTTCTTACAATTTGCATATTGGTTAGTTGTGATGATTTGAGGAGCAAATGTATTTCTGTTTTTTGGATAACAGTAAACCTAAAACAACATGCCCTGGTGTGAATGTTTCCTAAACACTCCTGTTTGTGTCAATAGCACTTCAGAGCATCAGGTCACATATGAGGCATGTTTACAGGCTCGATGAGAGAGCAAACACAACTAGAGTTCACATAAGCTTTTATTTTACCCTAAATGGTCTGACTGATGGAGCTTCCACATGCTGAGCAAAAAATGTGTTTTGCTCTGTAAACAAACCTGTTTTTCACTAAATAGTCTCCCAGTGATATCACTAAAGACATTTCAGGCCAGGTTTTTTTTTAATGATCAGTGAAATCAGTGAACCCAAGTGAAATCTGCTCAGACACTAACCTTGAATTCAACGTCTGATCACATCACAAGCATTGTTTATTGTTCATTGTCTCTGAAGAATGTGCTTCACTGCTGATGAGATTAATTGACTTGAACATTACATTGATGGAATTCTACAAAGCTACTGCCATAGATACTCAACCATACATTTCACATGAAAATTACAAAAAGAAGCAAGCACCTTTTATGATTTTGGAGAGAACAATGAATACAGGCCTATGAGGAGCAAGGTAAAATAGTGTGCAGTATTACTGTTTTTTATATGCAATAAGGTACAAATGTTTGATTGTACATTAGTTCTAAAGTTTACAGTGCCTCAATTAAAAGCCTTAAACCGACCAAAAAACTGCACTGTTCATCTGTGACTGTGACTGAACGCAAAAGAAAATGGCTAAAATCTTTTAGCATCCATAAGAAATTCAAAACAAAGTGGCATTATAGGTTTGTTTTGACATTAGAATTTTCGAATTAGAGGTTCATAGTCGGCAAATTAAACATGAACAAACATTTGCTTTAATGCATCCATGATGTACTAAAGGCTCATAGTGTACTGTTTGTAAAACAAATAATGGAAAAAAAGACTGGTACTCTGTAAAAACATCTCATAACTGACACTAGAATAAACAATAGCAAGTATTTTAATGCGTTTAAGCCACTTTACGGGGAAAAGTGCAATTTGTTGGCTTACAAACTGCAGTTTTAGTGCATTAGAATGGAACATAGAAATACTAATGACATCAAGGGAGGTCCTAAGTATAAATAACTTATCTATTCAGTAATAACTGATCTAATCAGTAGACAACATCAACTTTGAAAGGACCTCTACATCAAAAGATGGTGATATGTGAAATATGCAAATTGGAGAGCTGCATGTGGGAAGTTCTAGGTTTTCTCATGCATGCCAGTCTTGAGGGCCAAACCTTGACCTTCCAGAGAAATCTCATCTGCTGTGCTTTAAAAACCCACAAGTCTCTCACACTGCCAAGAACTAACTCTTTAAGAGCAAAATATCTGGCAGGAATGCTTATGGTTATTAGGACATGATCAGTGGCAACCTTCAGCATTCACATTTCGAAGGAGAGTCTCTGCCCTGGCCTATACCTATATGTTTGGAGAATAGATTAGCCCACAATCTAAGATGATAGAATGTGTTAGGCCATGATTCCCATCTTTTTAAAGTACACACACCCTCCGTTGATGGTTACTTTAGTAAAAACAAAACAAAAAAACAGTCAGCTTGAATTGTGCACTCTGATGTTGGCACAAACTCATTTCTTATTAGCTACAAACACAAACCTCTTAAGGTCTCATAAAGCTGCTTTTTTAGACCAGTGACCAATTGTTGTGTGTGTGTGTGTGTGTGTGTGTGTGTGTGTGTGTGTGTGTGTGTGTGTGTGTGTGTGTGTGTGTGTGTGTGTGTGTGTGTGTGTGTGTGTGTGTGTGTGTGTGTGTGTGTGTGTGACAAAAGGTAAACAGAGGAGAATAGCAGTCCTTTAATGTGCGTTTACATTTAAGTAGACTTGTAAGCAGAAATATAAAGCAAGTTGGAATAAAAATAAACACATATAAATTATAAATATTATGAAAATAAATTCTGAAATACTAAAAAACAATGAAGTGTTATGAAACAATTTACAATGTCACATTAAAAAAATTGGCATAAATTGGCAAAATGCAGTTCATAGAGACATGGGAGAATTATAACTATACATATACATACATGTAATATGCATATGTATTTTGGACAAACGCCAGAAACATCAGAAAGACCTTTCAAATGTATCAAAAGCTCATGCTATGACAGAAAATGAGATGATTGCTGCAAGGCTACTGTTGCCCACAAAGAATAATGGGGAATAGTGACGTTGACACAACTATGGCTGCTGTACACCGAGATTTAACAGTGGAAAAGGAGCATTGTGGCTGGCTGTGAGAGTTTGATTCTGGCACTCACCTTCACTCCCGCTCTGTTTCCCATTGTTCGCACCCATCCTGTGGAATGCATAATCTACCGTCTGCGCTCCGGAAAAGTATCCATATGCGTAAAACACGTACGGCTAAAAAAAAGATGTCATGCAAATCCGTCAAAGACTGCTTTCAAATACAGTTCGGTCCTGTAATGCAACTAGAAGAGTAGAAATAACGGTAAAAGTCAGAGCCACTATTATGCAATCGGTTAAAACTTAGCGCAGCTCCACAAACGACAGTTTAAAAACTGTATTACTTCAGATACAATGTTGGCTATGCAGTTTCTTTATGTTAAAAGCTCTTCGTCTCCAGACAGCGCGTAGTCATCCAAAGGAGAGACTAGAAACCAGATACTTGTTGCGTCAGGAGCACGCATACGCTCGTGCAGAATCTGTAACCATGAGTTCACTCTATGCAAGCGAGCGATCGCGACTCACTTTGACCTAATATCCTCCCTCTTTCCTGTACAGTAACAGTATTTTTTTTCGATTTCACTTCGAACTATAAATAGCTAGACAAGAGAAGTTTAGGCTATATATGCTTTTATATAGGCTATATGATTTTTAAGAATCATAAAAGGTAGCCTCATATATAATAAAAAACAAATAGGCTAAATTCCAAAAGTGTCTAGTTTTATATTCAATTAGTCGCTACATATTCCTGTGCTATATAGGCTATAGTTGTAATATTGATCGTATATCTATTTCAGTTTTACTAGAAACATTTTTCACTAGTCTTACTTCTTATGCTACCATGACGATAGTTGCTAGATAAACCATTTTAATAATTTATTTGAAACAAACATATTTATTCAGCATTAATGTGTATCTAAATTGTTACTAATAAAATATAAAGTTAGTAGCAAGATTTTTATTTAACTTTAATAGAAGCAAACAAATCAAACAATTATAAGAGATTGAAAAAAAAAACTGAATTGCTTACTACTATTTAAAAAATAATACTAGTAACATACAAACAGGTACTATTTATTCTAAAGGAATAAATGTTTGCCCTAATGGTAACTTATTATAAAATGTAAAATGTCTAATGAATGCATGCCACTATGTGAAGAAAATCGGCAGTGTGTCCAAAATAGACTAATAAAAGCGGACATGTAGGCTATATAATGCAAAATATGTCATCAAAATATAAAATTACAAAATATAATCCGTTTGTCCCGAATTTGTCACGATTGAAACAATATACTACACTAACCTACAAACAATTCATGCAATTCATAACCTCCAAGCTAGGTGGCAACACAAACTCACTGACATTATGACAGCGCTGCTTGCTACTTCTTCGTGGTTGAAAAAGCATCAGGCAAAAAAAAAAAAACAGAAGAGACAGAACTTGCCTTGAACCTGTACATGCTGTAAGTGTATATCAGTTTCCAGATAACTTCGCTTTTCTTCAGCTAAACGGTCAGTTGTTATTCTTCTCTTATTAAAAGCAAACAGGAGGAAATGTGACTGGTTCGTAGAAAACCATGGCTTTAACCAAGCAAGCTGACATGTCCACGTATTTGAGCCGGTGTGTAAAAACAGCGTGATAATTTGGGCAGATTGATATTCTCGTAAGAATGTAGAAAACTATATCTTTATGTATGGTTTATCCTAGTGTTTCGTTAAAACCACGCCTTAGCGAACTATTCGTTTTTCTAGCACTTCTTTAGTGCTCATACAAGTATGCTTTAAATATTGCTGTATCCTGCTTTTGCTGATATTAATATGAATGGTTTATATAAAAAACGAAATTGATTTGGGAGATTACCTGGAAGATCTTGTGTATTACCCTGCCATTTTTTTTTAAATCATACCAAAATCTAGAAAATTATAGATGATTTATTTCTAAATATTCTAGTAAAATAAGTAAATTCTCTCTCTCTCTATGCATATATATATATATAGAGTCTTGCAGCTCTGTGGACATTATTTAAACCTTTTTAATTCTCATTTTGTAGGAATAATGTTCAACAGCAATGGCTACTTACAACACACTGCAGGACAGGATCAGAGTAGCCAAGGAGCTGCTTGAGCAAGTGGGCAAGATTTGCAGTCGACAAGGCCGTGAGGTCGAGGGACGTGCTAAACTGTGCAGTAAGCTCCGAGCTGAGCTCAAGTTTCTACAGAAGGTGGAGGCCGGCAAGGTTGTGATCAAGGAGTCCCACCTGCAAAGCACCAATCTCACTCATTTAAGGGCCATCGTTGAGTCAGCCGAGAATCTAGAAAATGTGTTGAGCGTCCTGCACGTGTTCACCTATGAGGGACCTGATGGACAGAAGCAGACGTTGGTAGTCGACGTGGTGGCAAACGGAGGGCACACTTGGGTGAAAGCCATCGGGCGCAAGGCGGAGGCACTACACAACATCTGGCAAGGCCGTGGCCAGTATGGGGATAAAAGCGTGATCCGGCAAGCTGAAGATTTCCTTGAGGCCAGTCAGCAGCAGCCTGTGCAGTACAGCAACCCTCACATTATATTTGCCTTCTACAATGGGGTATCCAGCCCTATGGCAGACAAGCTCAAAGAGATGGGCATATCTGTGAGAGGTGACATTGTTGCTGTTAATACAATGCTCGAAAGTGGAGAGGAGGAGGAGGAAGAGGAGGAGGAAGATGACAGTGAAGACAAACATGGTGGTGTGGAAGAGGGCCAGGAGGGAGAAAATAATTTTTTGGTCGAGGAAGAAGAGGATGCTGATGACGACGATAGTGACGATACAGACCTCATGCACACCCGAGTTGACCGAGACACCATTGTGGCCAGCCTTGCCTTCCCTACTGAGGTGAAGGTAGATGTGTGCAACAGGGTGAACCTTGACATCACCACTCTGATAACTTACGTGTCCTCCCTCAGCCACGGCAACTGTCACTTTACTTTTAAAGAGGTGGTGCTGACAGAGCAGGCCGCACAGGAACGGCAAGAGAAGGTCCTGCCCCGGCTGGAGGAGTTCATGAAGGGAAAAGAGTTGTTTGCTTGTCATTCTGCAGTTGAAGATTTCCGGGTGATCTTGGATACGTTAGGAGGCCCAGGAGAAAAATCCCGAGCTGAGGAGCTGCTAGCCAGACTCAAAGTGGTTCCGGACCAGCCGTCTGAGCGAACCAACCGCTTAGTTGCGAGCTCAAAAGTGAACCGTAGATCACTGATGATCTTTGGGACGGGGGACACGCTGCGGGCCATCACTATGACTGCGAATAGCGGATTCGTTCGCGCTGCTGCTAACCAGGGTGTGCGATACAGCGTGTTCATCCACCAACCTCGCGCACTCACTGAGGGGAAAGAATGGAGAGCAACTCCAATATGACTGAAGGGCTGTTAAAGTAATAACATGTCAGCAATTAAGAAGGTTATTGCATAAGATATGGGGAGATTTATATTGTATAAGAGATGGTTAGAGTAATATGTCATGCTTAAAACCAGACACTTGTAAGAGAGCCACTACTGTATACTCGCAAATAAATTGCACGGCTGACGCAGACACTCAGCAATGTTTCTGTGGCTCTTTATGTAAACTCAGTGAGCTCAGTGCCTCCCTCGAAGGCCGCATTTCAATGCAAAGCCAGCAGAGATGTCAAATTAACCAAATGTATGATTAAATCATAGCTTATAGTGTCAAAAACAGTTTAAACAAAGGCATATACTTTCATTTCAAAGCTCTTGACTAAATGCCTAGGGTGTTTTTCTTTTCAATTTCTTTTCACGCACCTAGTATTTCTGATTTAATCTTGACACATACATTTTCATAAGAGTACAAAATAAACACTCTTCAGATGGCTTTACCTCATGAAGAATAATATATCTCTGTGATCGATTGAAGCCAAGTCATGTTGTGGTTTTACTGTAAGTGTAAAATGATACAAAGTATTTCTATTGCAAATAAATCCTATTCTTTTGATCTTTCAATTCATCAGATCCCTGAAAGAAAATATTAAGCAGCACAACAGCTTTCAACTGTGATGATGTTTCACTTGTTGACTTGAGCAGCACATCAACATATTACAATGATTTCTAAAGGATCATGTGATATTGAAGAAGACTGGAGTAATGATGCGGAAAATTTCAGCTTTGACATCACAGGAATTACATTTTAAAATATAAAACTATTCCACAATATTACTGATATTGCTTATATTTTTGAATAAAAAATGCAGCCAGGGTGAGCATTAAAGACTTATTTCAAAAACATTACAAGGATTTTACTGACAACAAATTTTTGAACGGTAGTTTTATAAATATTATAATGTTTTATATATATGTAAAGATGTATTTGCATTATATAACAAAATATTAAAACAAGTGTTTTTTGTTTTGTTTTTTAAACAGCACTTTCAACAAAAATAAAAAAAAAGGTTTCATTATATGTTCAAAAAGGGTGGGACACTTTCTGGTTGTCAAACTTTGTGATCCATGTTTGCCATTGATGTGAACTACACCAGTGGATATTCTGCTAGCTAAGATACCTGTGTACTCAAGAGGAACTGGCTTCATACATCCATGAGATATGACCTTGAGACCAACTGATTAAAAATAATTGGAAAAAGTGAAGTTAGTCCCAGCATTAATAATTTGCAGATGCCACTTGGATCTAATGCAATGAAATTCAGATTGAGATAAATGTTTTAATATTTAAAAAATAACTTCTAATTCTTAATTCATTATGTTATTTATGATTCTATTTGAGAGGAACTAAAAAGTTACTTATCACACAGGCACAGCCCAGCTCACCACTACCATGGCCTTATGAAAGAGATCTATATAGAATCTGAATGGTTGAATGCCAATTTGATAATCGGCATTTATGGTTAGAATTTTGTATTTATTTTTGTTGAACTGCTATAATAATAATAATTCTCCATTCATTAAAGACTAGCCTTCCCTATTAAAATTATGATTTTCCTAGCAGTGATGTACAATTTAACCAGGAGACCTCTAGGTGGACAATTATTGTGATGACGTCTGAGAACATGCTAGTTTGCGTCTCTACTGTACAGTCGATACTGTAGTAGACGTATAATCGACAAGACAATAGTATTACAAAAAGTTTAAAGGTGAAAGAAACAAGGCTAAATTGTTTTGAGAAGTAAAACATATGACGGACGTAACCCCATCGAGTCATGTGGCGTAACGTTACATTCAGGTCTTAGCATATTAGCACTTTTTTCTTCTTGTAATTCAGAATTAACCTGGTAACTTAGTCAGTGTGAAGAAGACCAAGCCCAGCCAGCCGAAGCTGACAGCAGTGCTGCTCCCATCTTAGTCATACACTGAAGCATAACAAATCTGCCCGCAGCAGCAAAGCTAACAAGACTTCAAACTCGCGAGCTAATGCTCATTTGGTAAGTATCTGATTTATACATACCTTTCTACAACTTTTATTGTAATAAAGACTGACATTCGTTTAATTTGTTAGATGGCTTAATAGACAACATCGTACTAAAGCAGTAGTGTTCCCTATTAGCTGTGGAGTGCTAAAACGAAATCCTCTCTAAAACACGGAAGTGGCATTTAGCGCGCTGTGAGTATTTAAATATAACAGGAAAATCACTCGTGATTTTACTTCCAAGAGCTCGCGAACTACAGCAGCCCATCGTGCGTGTCATTTCGAAATGATTGAGTTAGCTAGCTAGCTCAGCAGCAGGCATTAGCTCTACCAATGAGCACTTTTCTGAATCAATGTTGTCGTTATTCTCTTTTTGAATGATGGGACACAGCAGACCATTGAAATAATTCACTCACTTGTGGCTATTGAGTGAATTAAGTCCATTCACGCGAGTCTTGTTTTCCTGTAAACGACTGTAATGTTACATGCGGAACAGGTGTCAATATCACGTGCTTGCATTGTAAGTCGTTATTTAATTGTTGAGAAATGTATCACGACCCTATAAATAGTTGTATTGGTCAGAAATAGGTCCCAGCACCCTGATCACTGTATAAACTGTGATTTTAAAAGTAACGTTACACTTTCTACATCATCACAGCTGTCACGTGCACGTCGAGCTGTTAGTATTGCGCCAAAGGAAGCAGGTGATGTGATGTAGCCATTGTAAATTATATTTACATGTACTTTTACATTATTATAGTGAATCTCCCAAAATGAAATGTTTGTAGAGACAAATTACAACACGGTCTAGATTTGAAATGATACTGCTGCTACAGGTGAAGGCCGTTATTAGAGAACGTGTATATTCTTTTCATAGGCTATATACACTTTCAGTGTGCTAGAATTGTACCTTTTGGGGTAAAACGGCTTTTCGCCGGGGCTGTACCCTGAAGAGGGGAACTTTGCCTTATTTACCCCCTAAGAGGTGGATATCAATACCTCAGAGTAGTATGGTACTTTAACAACTATCTATATATCTGCCCATACAGTGTAAGCTAACAAGTAAAAAAAATGTTATGACAGAAAATGTTAATTTTGAATCAAAGGATATCTTTTGATAAGAATGCTGTCTGTATGAATTAACAGAAGGCCCTTTCATCAACACTGTATTGAAATATTCCCGACCTGTAGTCTTTGGTCCAAAAATATTTACTGCTTTATTGCCAGTCCTTAAATTGCAACCTGGTAACATTCTCGTCTGTTATTCAAATGAACCAGTGCCACAAACAAAAGCCTACTGAGACACCTTTATAGAAATGTGATGCCCTATTAGTCAAGTGCTCATTTGAATTTTTCATTATTTTCCCCTCTCACTCTTTGCACCAACTATGTGGGGTCAATCATGTAAAAGCAATCAACTGTACTGCATGCATCATGTCATTGACCATTTGCCACACCCTCTCCTACACTACAGATGAGCTGTGTAAACTGAGTAAACCTTAAACAGATGCTGTAGTTAGCAGTCTGCACTTGAGTCAATAGCTGTAATCCTATATTATTGTCTAGTAACTCCACCCATGATTTCAGGTTTTTAAAGAGGATTTTTTTTTTGTATATAATTATTACATACTATCAGATAACACCTATGGCCAATAGTCTCACAATCTGGACAGTTGGCTGACCTTGAGGCTAATCTCTCAGTGTTTTTAAAGTTAAAATGGGATTTTCTTGGTTACACGGAAGCCAATTGATTCCACATGGATGTACATTTGTTAGGAATATTTAGAGTGATGGTTCACCTAAAAATGAAAATGCTGTCATAATTTGCTCACCTTTTATGACTTTCTATATTCTGTAAACAATTAAAAAGATATTTTGAGAAATGTTTGTTCATACAATGGAAGTCGGTGTTCACCAAAACTGTTTGGTCATCAACATTAATACCAAAATACTTTTTTATGTTCCACATAAAGTAGTAAAAAAAAAAAAAGTAATACAGGTTCGGAACAACATAAGGGTACGTATATGATGACAGAATTTTATTTAGGGTGAACTATCCCTTTAACTATGTATTGACAGTCCTTTAAGAGAATCTGAGTGAGCAATGATGTCAGTGTCAGTTAGGAAGGGAACCGACAAATGCTATGCTAGCCTTAATGAGAAGCCTCATTGTTTTAGCATTTTCTCAGAGGATGGAAAAGAAAGTAGGCCTGTGTTTTCATCATTACAGGAAGGGTCGGAAAGTCGATTATTCATAAAAATCAGCCCAATCATGTTTCACTGACTTGAAAGGGTGCAGGTATATATTATTATTAATGAATGTCGGTAATTGCTCCTGAACGAGCAAAATACCAGTCTTGCATTGTTAAAAGTTTCATAAGCTTTAACATCTGCTGTGTTCTTCTCAAAGACCTTCTTTCTAGGGTTCCCTTAATACCCATCTACCTCTGATTTTTCACTACTTCTTCACTGCACTGCCACCTGTTTCATTGCTTGAAGCCATGGCTGCTAACAGGAACGCTTTGGCCCTTCACAAAGTGATAATGGTGGGCAGTGGCGGCGTGGGCAAGTCAGCACTAACACTGCAGTTCATGTATGATGAGGTAAGGCTTAATATTTTGGAATTTCACAGTGTGTAAATTGATGTTACCCATAAAGTATAATTATGCTGGTCTCTTTCAAGTTTGTGGAAGACTATGAGCCCACTAAAGCTGACAGCTACAGAAAAAAGGTGGTTTTGGATGGAGAGGAGGTCCAAATCGACATCCTCGACACGGCAGGACAGGAGGACTACGCTGCCATTCGGGACAACTACTTCCGCAGCGGAGAGGGATTTCTTTGCGTGTTCTCAATTACAGAATCTGAATCCTTTGCTGCAACTGCTGATTTCAGGTAGAGAAATGACTTTGAAACTGATGATTAATATAATACTAGTCAAAGTTTTCTCATTTTATCTCTAAACTTCAAGAGAACAGATTCTTCGGGTGAAGGAGGAGGATAACGTACCTTTCCTGCTGGTGGGAAATAAGTCAGACTTGGAGGACCGACGGCAAGTCGGGGTGGAGGAGGCCAAGGCCAGAGCAGAGCAGTGGGCAGTCAGCTACGTCGAGACTTCTGCCAAAACCCGTGCCAACGTAGATAAGGTAGGCCTGGTTTGGCGACCATTACATGTGATCCTTAAAGGGATAGTTCACCCAAAAGTGTTATTTGTCATCATTTACTCACCCCCATGTCGTTTCAAACCTGTATGACTTTTTCTTCTGTGGAACATAAAAGAAGGTACTTTGAAAAATGTTTAAAAATACAAAAACAGCCCCAATTGACTGTCATTTATATAGACAAAGACATTCTTCAAAATATCTTCTTTTGTGCTACACAGAAGAAAGTCAGTCAGTCATACAGGTTTGGATGACATGATGACAGAATTTTCATTTTTGGATGGACTATCGCTTTAATAAACAGAATCAATTAGTTTTAGCAGAACTGAAGAGGATTTTTTTCTTCTTCAATGAGACATTCATACAAACTTCATAATCTCTCCAGGTGTTTTTTGATCTCATGCGTGAGATCAGAGCCAGAAAAATGGAAGATGGCAAAGAGAAAAATGGAAAAAAGAAGAGGAAAAGTTTGGCAAAGAGAATTCGAGAAAGATGTTGCATTTTATAACAACCGAGTCGCACTAGAATGCTAACATCTCTTCTCTACCCTTCCACTGCTTCAAAAAAAAAAATCCATCAGGTTTCATCACTCTCCAGTTACCTGCTGGAGATCACCTCTTAAAAACACATCTAGTCAACAGTCAGTGTCTTGTTCTTCAATGGGTATAAGTGGACAGAATATCAGATATGCATTAAAATAACAAATGGTGTCAAAGGTCTGACATATCAGATAAGAACATTTCTCAGCTCAAGCACACCATAAAATACTACTATAATGATTTTAACGTGTAACTAGATTCCGTTCAATTTAGTTGCTTTTAGTTAAGTGTGAGTCCATTGAGTGCTGAACACTAACACTGCTGGGAAAGACTACAACTCCAAGCTATTTGTTACGAAGTTCACGGTGTGTTTTGAGATTTAAACCTCCTGTTCTCTTTCAGTTCTTAAAGTAAAGCCTTAATGTTAGAGTATACAAAAGTGGGTGTTAAGCTCCATGCATGAATGCTTTTAGGCACCTATCTAAAAGAAAATTACAGCTATATGACTTTGTCTAACATGAGCATTGCTAAATACTTCCTAAGACAATGCGCAAATGATTAAAAACAGCTAAATATCTAATGAACTCAAGAATTAATGGGGTTCATAGAAATTGGCTTTTACCAAAAACTTTTGATTTAATTCAAACACTCTAAAGTGTAAAAGGCCATGCATTTCAGAATATTTGGCACTGTCCTTTATTTCATCTTAATTTCCTAAGTGCATCAAGCTTGTTTCAAATATGTGATTTAACATAAACTAATCTCTCATGCATCAAATATAGTCAAAAGGGCTTATTCACTCATCCCTGTGTGCATGATTTAGAGGTTTAATTTGTGCTTTTCTATGGGTCCCAAATAACACATGGATTTTGCCATTTAGAAATGAGAGCATCATCTAGCTTGTCAACTTTACTGTGAAAACGGGTTGGAATGTTTTATTACAGACTGAAATGTGTACTTTATTAGAACTTATATGCAATTTACATTTTCTTGCAACTTTTATCCAGTGTAATTATATTTTCTATTGTAAATTAAAATGTTCAGAATTTTAGTTATTTTGAGGGCAAGAGCATATTGCGAAATCATACTCGCTCATACTAAAACTAAGAAACTCTAAAAGGGCTGGACATAATCTGCATTTCAGACACCTGGTCCTGGTGGCTACTCTATCTGCAGATATGAGTAAAAAAAAACAGTCACCCTTTGATGAATGGTTTTGAATAAGCACATCCCCATGTGTAAATAAATGTGATGTTGACAGTTTATTTCCACATTATTCTGGCTTTAACCAAATATTGTTCTTTTGCAGCTAAAACACAGCTTCTTTTAACTGTCTTTACCTAAATCTATGTGTGCACTGTGGCTTTTGCAACTTTTGTTTCCTCAGTTTTATCTGTCATAGTGGGTTAATACCCTTCAACGAAGCTCTCGATTGGTCTGTTTGTGTGGTGAGTGTGCCATGGGGCAATGATGCTGACTTATCAATGGCGGATGCCTCAAGAAACCCTTCATTACTTGTGGAAAAAAAAAAGTCACTGACTTTGAGTGCTAAATGTTTACAAAACAAGACATTTTAATATAAGCCTCTATTGTTTGAGTCTTTCTTATTACTTATACAAGATGAAATGTCTTCATTTCATTCTATATTTTGGGTGTCTCTTGGCAAATGCTAAACATGCAGGAATCTGAATGCTAAATAAGGTAAGGACCAAAAAAAAAAAAAAAAAAGACATCTCTAATGTAATATTACAACAGCAATTCTGGTGATACGAATGTTGAATGAAAATGAAAAGCAAACATTTAAGCATACTAAACTTCAAAATGTAAATGTTGTTTCTGTTACATTAATAAAAATCTATTTTGTAGACCTCTAACATGAGATTCATATGGTATATCCTACAGCAAAAAGTGTAATTACTGAATTACAACTTCCTTAGACGTGTAGTAATGTTATGGTGTTTTATCTACATTATCTTTGAAAATCCACAATAAGATTAACTTTGAAGATATTAAACATGTTTTTACTAGTAAATAAAGCGTAACAGATTTCCACTTTCAATGTTTTTTTGACAAGGACTGTATTGCATTTCAATTTTTAATTAATTTAGGCTTATAATTCAACAATGGTCCTTTGTGGGCCATTTATAATGACAATATCTGTTATCAATCACGTTTTTTTTTTTTATATGCAGAAAAGAAAGCCATAGATTTTAATAAAACCAAAAAAGTGTCACCAAAAAAAAAACGTTTAAAAAAAAAAAAAAACAGTTCATAGAAAATTATTAAAGGAGCCAAACCTACAAATACTTGACCCGTTCTATTTAACAGCACACAGTCAATACGGAGAGGTAGGTGGATGTGGTGATCAGACATCTTTTGTTAGACTGCATTTTGAGCTTGAAGACATATTCCTCTGAATTCAATGAAAGATTTGCAAACTCCATGGGAGTGTGCCAGAGATGGCAAACTATTTTCAATAGGCTGCCAGTTACAAACGCACCCCCATTTTTATGATCCTGACGTTGAAGTGCAGATATAAAAGTAAAAGAGAAGGTCTCTTAATACAAGAAAGTACATAAAAATGCTGTGGAGTCAGTTTCTCAAGAATTATTGCTGGTGAATCCTGCCTCATGTCCATGTGTTCGTCTGGCTCCGTTTGACTTTAAAAGTTTAGTGCACTACAGCTGCTGCACTAAATAAAAAGGACTGTTCAGTGACTTTTGCCTCTCACTGAAGTTAGAGAAATGTACTGCGTTTTAATTGTAGTACCTCCCTTGTCTGCTTGTATTGGTTTGTTTGGAGTTGCATTTAGACTGAGTTTGTGACACTGAGATAGGCTGTAGTTCAGCCCAGGGATCTTGAAGCATTGATGGTTTGTAATACTTTTCCATATCATTTGTCCCTCTCTCCCTGCCATGCGCTGAACCAAATGGTGTGGATGTCCGTGGTGAACCCTTAAGGAGAAAATTATCATGCAGAAAGACGTTAAAACGACCACATTTAATCAGAGGTTATATTATAGTGTCTTAGCCAACAACAAAATATAAACGCACACAATTCGCAGAAATTATTTGGGATCATTCAGAGCAGCAGAGTGCTGCAAAGAGGCGAAATCACAGCACATAAAACTGTTTAAAAACTAAAATCGCGCATTTGGGCCTGAACACGAGTGAACTACCTGATATCCGGCGTGTCGCCCGGGACTCTCATACGGCGAGCGTCTGAACGGTGCGCCTCGGGGACTGGCGTTCGATCTGTGCGGTGTTTGACCCGGAGACTGACCGTTATTATATTTCCCACCGCCGCCCCTATTACCACCAAACTCTCTCGGTGGGGTATTGGGAGAACACGGTCCAAATCTCGGTCCAAACGGCGGAGGAGGGCCGGAAAATGCCCACGGAGGCGATGGAAACATGCTCCCTGTCCTGTCGTAAACTGGAGGCGGGCTGCGGAAACCTGCTGCCCGTGGACCAGAGCCCTGGCGGGGATGGCGAAACTGTGGTCTTTGCATCCTGTCGTAGTATTTTCCTACACTGTTTCCTAAACCTCAAATGACGACTGTATTTATAACCTGAAGCTCCTAAACCTGTTTTGCACTTAGCATAACAATACAGAACGACCCGGAATAAGAATGGTCTCTCGACGATTATCATTTGAATACAACATCGCCAATGAAAGACTCGATACTGCCACCTATTCTCACGGAGCGTCAAACGCCCATTAATCATCGAAAGTACCGTTTAACACCAACCCTCTAAGCAACGTTTCATTGTAATTAACACACTCATTACCCCAAGTAGGCTACTTAGCAATAAACAAGAAACTTTGTCCAACATTGGGCAAATATTTTTGTATTTGACCGTTCCAGTGTTTTGGATGCTGGTAGCCTCAATGGACAAACAGTTTTCCTTATTTTCTATGCACCTTTAGAGCACTCCAAAAGGATTTTGCCTACTTAAAATAAAAAAATAAATCAGTTTATGCATTCCCTGTGATTAAAACTCACGACCTTGTTGTTGCAAGCGCTGTTGCAAGCACTATCACTATAATCAGAAAGGCCGTTGTTGATAAACACTACTGGTCCACCAGCGTGGTATTCATGCATGGTCTCAGCTGGACTTTTCACCAGGGCCTTTTATATTTGTAGCCCACCTTGAAGATAAATGTATACATTTTAAGGCTTCCTTACATGTAGGCCTAGACATGAACATAATCCGATGTTCCTGAACACTTCATCGTTTTTTTATCCCTTTATAGTCCCACTTTTTCTCAAAAATGTCTCCTTATGCTTCATGCAACAAATATGCTGAAGTAGCCTGTTTAAGATAAAACAGGCTTCATATTTAATAGTTGTCTAAGACCGACCCCAAAAGTTAAAATTGAGAACTCATGTCATGGAAAACAAATGTAAAGTTCCTGGGAAGATTTATTATTATCTTTTTTTTTAAAGAAGCCTGGGGGTTCACTTCTCTTTATGATTTACTCTAAGCTTTTTGACATTATTATTTTATTTCGTTGAAAGCAGTCTGAGTGTTAATTTCTCTTTATGATTTACTGTAGGATATTTGTCAGAGCCAAGTTGTTTCTCATCAGCTGTCAGCAGAGGTCAGTGTTACCATTACACAGTCCTGTTAGAAGATTAAGCAGTGCGCTGATTCATGTGTTTAAAGTGGATAAGCCAATATGTGCAGTAAAATAATAGCAAAACAGTTGACATAAAAATGAAAACCTCCCTCCATTCTCTGAGTGGGAGGGGCCAGGGCTCCTGGTTGTGAATATTCCTCTGTTGAGGTCACGTTTGTGTTTTATTAGCTGTGCTCTTGAAAACCGATCATAATTCATCATTGACAAAGTTTTGTGCTGAGAGGATAAGAGGTTTACAGTGAGGAGGAGTTACACTTTCTCACAGAGTTCTGATTGAGGATTGCTGATGGATTGAGTTCTCACGCGTGTTTTCTTTTTATTCAAATCAAAGCTCTTGTGTCATAGTTTCATCGGTGGAACTGTGTTTGGTTTTGTTATGATTTCATTTGGACATCAGTGAGCAGAGAAAGTGTGGCCTTAAAAGGCACTCTAAAGCTTGAGAAATTTAGTTTTGGAACTTAAACCAGGACTAACGGCTGCAGCGAGAATACAATGGCACTAGAATTTTCTAATTTTCTCTATACCGAGTAATTCAGAAAAAGTAATATAAGTTTGTGCAAAGTCAGTTTTCTTAATTGATCATATGGTACTTTAGACTTATGTACAGCACACAACTTCAACAGATGTTGAAGTCACTTGGTTGCAAGTTTAGTTTAGTTTAGTTGTAACATTACAATATTACAACAGTTGTAAGATTCGCCTACTGTTAAAAGTAGTCAAAATATATAATTGATTCAGCTGAAATCCCACAGTTCTGAATGTAAACCTAAATCATGGTGTCAGCTCATGTTGATGCTGTTTATTAAATTGTTTTTCAGTGTTAGAGATTTATCAGTTTAGACATTAGATTGGCAACCAACTGTAACATTTTTCTGTCCTGCCTGCAAGACAATGATGACCATTTCTGGGCCAAAGATCAGACGCAGGCTTGACTGGCATGGCACAAATAACAAGAAAGTAAATGCGCACACACACACACACACACACACACACACACACACACACACACACACACACACACACACACACACACACACACACACACACACACACACACACACACACACACACACACACACAGACACACACACAGACATTGCAGAGGCATATTTTGTCTACAAAACATGAGGGACAAAATGTTTTATGGGACAAAACTGTCACTGAAGTCATAGGCCAACTCATTGAGAAACAATGTGGCACTCAGATGAACCGTGTTCCCTCTTAAGTCTCCCAGGTGACCTATTTCCTCCCACCCTAGATTTTGCTCATGCTCTAGCCCTCTGGTTCCCATGTTTTCAGATGCCCCTCCATCATCCAATCACTGAAGGTTAGTCACTTCCTCAGTTTCCTAATTTACACCATTTAGGTGGTGACAAGTGACCATCTTTATGAGTGAATCATTCATTCAATCCTTTCTTTTAAAACGCTGATTCATTCAGGAAAAAAAAAGTTACTGTCTGCATCCGAAACCGTGAGTATACTTCTTTTGAACAAGTGATTACTTTGCAATAATGAATTTGTCATGTCGTCATTGTGATGTGACCTACCAGCTTCACTTCACTGCCATCTACAATTTCTTGCATTTTTATGGGCTGAAATTCAGCATGGTTGAATATTTAAGCTGTGAATATTTCAATTCAAAACATTTCAAACACATTTTCATTATTAAAAATTCAATAATCCATATTCACCTTTCATATTTCACTTCCAAAATATTCAAACTAAAAAATACAACCTGTAGCCTAATATTCAACAGGCAATTTTCGGTACATTTTCTTTTTTGCTTTGAAAATTCGCTTGCACAAAATTCAGTGGTTCAAATTCGACAGTAAATTCAACGTTGACATCCAGGAACTGCAGGAAAAGCAGTAGATTACCGAGCATAATCTCCATCTGCTATTACTAGTCGACCTCACCATCAGGAGATGCAAAAGCGCGTGTTGTTGACGAAGACCAGAGCAACAGTTAGAGCAAGCCATTCATTCATAAAAACTCATTTGCAGCAATGTAAGTGTATTTGTGATTATTATGACGGTTATTTTATGTTAAATTCAGTGTCTTCACGGTTACCTTTCCTGTGTAGCCTACATGCATCTTTCTCTACCGTGAACGGGATTATTATCAGTTTCCCTCAATAACTCATCATACTCAAGGATTCCCCTTCCGTCGGGACAAAACGTCTTAATGGACTAATACAGTGATATAAAAGATTATTTTACTTCCATATTATTTAACTGAAAGCAACTTTCACTGATATATCATAAAACATGTCAGTGTTTTATCTCAAGATGCACACCATTTTTTTTTTTTCTAAGGCATGTTTATAAAAGCTACTTAAATGTCCTAGCTGAACTAATCTAATCCTGGCTTAATCTAAACCCCGTCTGTGAAACCAATGTCTTTATGAGTGAGCCATTGAATCAACCAATTCAAAACACGATTCTTTCAGAAAGTAAACACCTCTACTGTGTGTTGTCTGAAGACATTCTTTAATAACTGTCAATACTGGGTAAAAATGGTATATTATGGCATATTGACTTTTTGTTTATTGATTTGTTATATAAAAGCACTTCCACATATTACTTCAGGTATATATTTTTCTAGTTTACAAAGAAGATAATATGGAGCTTCTTGTGTTACTTTGAGTCTCTAGAGGCCATCTTTTCTTCATTGTGCTACAGAATAGCTGTATCTGTTTTACTGGACCAACCCTTTGTCACTATTAAAGTCTTTAATATCAAAACTAAAAGTCAGCTGCAAGATTTACAGTTTTTCTCAGTCGCTTTGGTGCATTTCTCACATCACTATTTACATTTGCAAAACAGTTAGTTCAACCTCCACAACATTTAGTCATTTGTGCACATCATAGTAGCAGTTTCTCATTCCTTCCATCAAATTGCAAATGCTTTTGGACATGCATCAATTGCTTTCATACAACTCTGCTGTTTTATTATGGAAGCATATGGGTAGCAATATTCAATTTGAAATGTAATATGCAAAATGACAATGCAATATGTAAAATGGCATTGCATTCTGTATTTAAATTTACATTTTACATTACCATTCTAGCAACGTTTGGTGCAAAATGAAAAGGCAAATGTAAATTATGTAATTTCATTTTCAAGTTCATACACTAGTTTTAATATGCATATTGAAACGCTTTATAAGTTGCAAAATTAAAATGAAAATGCATTACAGAAATGATTAGATATGTGTAGCATGTTCAAGCAAAAACTGTGGCAAAATGATCATTCAAATGTTATTTTTCTTAATTGCATTTACACTCACAGTCAAGACACTTGCGATTGCATTTTCATGAAATGTCCCGCAATGAATGTAGCAAAATTCAATGTGCACATTGAAAATGCATTCCGAGCCGATCACGCCCCCTCCTGCCCTGTCAATCACTGCATCAAGGCGGGGCTTAAGTTGTGTTGTTTCTCTCTATGGAACCAGGTATTTGGAAGCATGACGCCTCCGGATCGAAGTGGTAGGACACGGGGCAAGTTGGCAGAAAGAGAAGAGACAAGGGGTCGGTAGTGTGACCGCAGCCGCAGGTAAAGCCGGGTGTCACCCCATTTTTTTTTTTTTTTTTGGCCAAAACGAGCACTTTTCGTACATACGCTCTATGGTCACGTAAGAGTGTGATCGTCAAATACACTCCACAGTCCAGACCCCGAGTGAAAGTTGGCAACCCTAGGTCTAACCGTTTGACGACCGTCGACCGACTCCCTTGTCTCTTCTCTTTCTGCCAACTTACAACGTGTCCCACCACTTCGATCCGGAGGCGTCATGCTTAAGCTGGACGATGGTCTTTCTGAAGGGGCAGCATTTGCACTTTGTCGCTCTATTGCTTGTGCAGCTTCTCGGAGTTCCATAGAGAGAAACAACACAGCTTAAGCCCCGCCTTGATGCAGTGATTGACAGGGCAGGAGGGGGCGTGATCGGCTCGGAATGCATTTTCAATGTGCACATTGAATTTTGCTACA